GATGTTAAAGTTCCATCTATACTATGCCTCTAATAGGCTACACCACATGATAATATCCATATGGCTACTTCATAACTCGATCTTCGGATATCAAGTCCTCACTCCTGATTCCTTACATTGTCACCTACTTCATTAAGGATCATTTAGAATGCTTTTGCCTTCGGCTTTGGCGACACATTTTGCTTTGTAGCCCTTTCTGTGTCCGGACAATCTTGCTTCAAGTGTCCTTCACCACACTTAAAGCAAACTTCTCTCTAGGTTGGGCATTTGTGGGCATAGTGACCAGTCTTCCTGCATTTGAAGTAGGTCGCCTCTTTAGGACATCTCCTGGTGTGTTTTCTTCTACATTTGTCACACCACTTTTCTCCATTATTATCCCCATATTTCTTTGACCTTGGATAGCTATTTCTATTTTTGGATTTTGAGGATCCCTCAAACTTCCTCTTCTCGCCTACCTCAACTATTTCCAAACCCTTTTCCCTAAGTTGGATCTCCACATTCTTGGATGCTCTAACGACTATCTTCAAGGTAGTTGCCATTTTTACTGTTGCACTAATTTCTGCTGGTAACCCTTTAGCAAACCTATCTATCTTGCAGAGTTCAGTAGGCACCTAGTAGGTAAATAGCCTCATCTTCTCGGTGAATGCGATGGCATACTCATCAACACTCATCTTCCCTTTCCCCAGGTTCTGAAACTCATTATTTAGGTCTATCAGATCTATCTCTGAGTAGTATTGCATTTTCAACTGCTCCATAAATGCTTCCCAAGACATCCTTAGGGCTTCTCCCATGGCATTGTATCTGCCAACAACTTCCACCAACTTAAAACTTCGGTCTTCTTTGTCTAACTGTAAAGATGATCTTTTGCTTTTCACTGCAGTTGCAGCTTTCAAACACCATCTCCATCTTGGAGATCCAGTCCATAATCTCTACTGGCTTCGGGCTTCTAGAAATACTTGGTGGTTTGGCACCCAAAAATTTCTTATATATGCGGCCATCCCTATCCATCCTTCTGTTTGGTTCGTTCCTCATGACCATTCGGGGTTCAATTTGACTCACAGTGTGACTATAGTTCCCTTCATCAAATTTCTCAATGTTCAGCTCAGGTTGTTCAACAAGCATAGTAGGCTTGTCCCTATTTTGTTGAATTAAATGCCTTGTTTCCTCCATCTGAGGATCCAACATCGTTTGGATCATCGCTTGAACGCCCGCCATCATGATTGTATCAAGTGCAGCTGCTACTTCTGGTGCATGCTCAATCATAGGCCGCTGATTAACATTTCCATTTGCGTTTCCGCTTCGGGTTCTTTCCATGTTGATCTATACACCAACTTAGAAGTTCGGTGTGCATTAGTGAGAATTTAGATAAGGAAACTTTATTTACGATAGACGTATAAATCTTTTTATCACTCCGAAAAGTTATATGCCAGTTCTAATACCGTAGTTTAAATGTTAGAAATCTGAACACATAAAATTTTCCAGATTCGGTCGGAAACAGACCATAGATCCGATCATATAATTCATACCATAAATCATTTAGCACATAACAACATTTTAGGCATCTTTCCTAAAATAAGCTAGTGCTTGTGTCTATTCAGGTGTACTACTCAACTCATAATCATCGCTTAGCATTCTAAGTTTATGTTTAGAAATTTCGTACAATTCCTAGTTCGCTTAAACTAATTCTCTGATACCAACTGTGACATCCCCATTTTCACGGCCATAAAAGACCGATTTGTTTATGCTTTATTTTCAAATCAGAGCAACCTTTTAAAGAATAGTGTTTTGGAATTTGTTCCCAGAAAAACATGATAAATATGTTATCAAAGCATTTCCAAAGAAATATATTTTATTCATTTTAAAACTTTGGGTATCGTCAATACATAAACATAAGCATAAATAGACCTTACATTCATTTACACTAGTGATCTACATCTCCTTAATCTCTCGGTGTAATGTAGCTTCATATCGACACCTGTGATACAAATAAACTAAGTGGGTCAGGTTTGGAAACCTGGTGAGTACATAGGGATTTCAATCCCACGATGTTATCACTAATAGAAAAATAGCCTTTTACGACGCTCATTGCGCATCGTAAAACGCTCAGATGACTATCATTACGAGAGACAACACACTTTTTCGTGTCGTGTAGAGACGATGCGCATTTACGACTCGCATTTATGACACGCAATGCGTATCATTAAAGCCACTGTCAAGAAAGGCCATGTCATAAATGAAGATGAAACACATTTTTTCATATCATAATTTTAAATTTAAAAAAAAATGATTTATAGATTTACTAATTTTCAAATTAAATTTACATTTCATGTCTCACAATAGAAAATAAAATACCATATACAAAAAATACAATCCATTGCACAAAAATTAATGTCATATAAATTATCATTCCAATATATAGTAGACAAATGTAATACATCAAATGTGAAAGAGATGAAAGTCATCAACAAATAATAGTTGAACTAGTTCATTATTGGCCATATAGGTTAACCGCAATCTCCAATCCTTCTAGCAGACCCTAGAGATCATTATTAGTCATGTAGTAGGATCAACCTGCAAAAATAATACACCAAATTAATCAGAAACTGAGATGCTACCTATAGGACAATCCAAAAACACATTATAAGCATAACAATCAGTCCATGGACTTACTGTGGATCAATAATTGCTTCAATTTGCATATGTTAAGAAGGCACAACTAAAGGTAGAATAATAATAAAAATAATATCTTACTCATTAAAATAACACACAAACATCTATCTGTATATTTCTCTTTTCCTCATTTAGATTCTGAAAATGTAGGGAATGCCTATAATCACTTGTTGCTATTATAGTTCATAGAACACTGTAATATATGAGAAAGTAAATTTTAAATATCATAACTATTGGAAAACTAAAAATAGCTACCTCACCTGTCACAAAAATAACCAAAAGAACAGCAAAGGTGATGCTTCGTCAAACATACCATCCTTCTTCAATACCCTACACAAGGAAACCTCATGTCTTTTAAGAAAACTGAAACAAATAGGAGTCATAATATGATCACAAACTCCTGAATGACTAAATATATGAGAAAGTATGATTTAAAACTTGCCTATGTCTTTATTCCTTGCACCAGTGATGTTGCAGCAGCTACGATCAATATAATAAGTGTCAAATTTTGCCAAGCTTCCCAAAGGAACATTTGTGGTCAACATAATTAAAATACCAATGGTCAGCTGCATTTGTAAATAAAAGAGAAGAAGAAATAGTTGTTGTAGAGATATAACATACAAAGAAGCTTCTTCCTTTTTTCACAAGATAAGTGTTATATCCAAAGGCATTTCTCCTATTTCTTAATTTATCTTCATGTCTTTGTACTCCTTTGTCCAGATTGGTTTTCAACATCTCAGATAACCCTTGCACCTGAAAATATATATAGGTATAGATGTATATATAAAGAAGTTTTGAGTTTTGATAGTGAAGGAAAAATATGTTTGATAAGCTACGTAACTTCCCCCTCCATATTGATGAAAAGAAGTTAGATTATGGTCCTTAGTCATGGAAACAAGTTGCTCAAGTGAAATACCATAACCACAACTTGGAGATGCAGGAATAGCAGTGGGCCCAAGCACTATATATATGAAGGGGAAATACAAGGAAATTAATTAGATGTAGAATGTAGCTAGCTCAACATAAGAAAATATTATATTTATATCATAAGGGAACTTGGGCGACCAAATACCAACTGTACGTTCTCCAGCCAATTTGAATAGCAATGCAGCCTAACAGAAGGTGATCAGATGTTAACTAATATATAACCAAAATTGGGATTGGGAAGCTATATATAAAAATTTATGGACAAAATTACCCTTATGAGTTGAGCATGTGACCTGATCATCCTTCTCCTTTTTTCCTGCTCTTCATTCTTTCTCAAGTCTAATGTGTATCGGAAGCGACGTGAAGCATTAAGCACAAGGGCAGCTTGCTGTATATATAGGACAATAAATTACAATGAGTTCAATTACTAAAGCTAAATCCAGTAGTAGTAATCTCAGTATTTCAACATATCACTTTCAGATCCAAAAAGGATTAACGATAACTAGATTAGACGTGTTATTAATTTACTATGAGTGATAATTTTTTTTGACCTTTCAAGATGTAAATAAACTCAAATCGCAACACAATAGTAGGAGTGATTAAGATATGTATATGTTAGGTAAAAATTTTGTCAGTTTGTCTAGATCCCATAGGATTCAGAGTATCTACTACTTTCCAAAAAATAATTTTATCTGGCATGACAAATTTACAATCAGCTATCTCATCATGTTTCGAAACTAGTTTTACTCATGTATCAGGCAGGTAGGTATCTATTATCTAAGAGTTAGCCAAAATGTTAATATATTTAACCAAACCTTATGTAGTTATGTGTATTTAATGATTTAATCCTTTGAGATATGGAAAGCTGAAATGCTGAAAGATGCTTAAATTTTTCAAGAACTGACAACACCAAATGTTGGCATAATTGAAGTCAGTCCTTATAAGATTGTTTAGTATATATGTTATTATTTATAAAACCAAGGGCAAAAAAAGGAAAAGAGTATATAATCTTTTTACCTTCATCTCCTTTGTTTACATCAAATGTCTCAGATTATAAAATATATAAAAAAAAATAAATGGAAAATTTTACCAGTCATCTAATATTTCTGTAACAGGCTCCTCATAAGCTGAATGCTAATAAAGGTGAAATGAAAAGAAATATATAAATATATAATGATAATTTTATATAAAAGGATTAAAAAGTTATAAGTGGTTTAATAATTCAGCATGTTAGTTATCTATCAACTGTGTGTGCATAAATAGGGGTAAAAAGGTTATTTGATCATGAAAAGAGAATGGGAATGACTTACATCTTTAGGTCTTGATATTCTTGAAAGTGGGCTGTGAGCGTGAGGAGCACGTGACACCCTACCTTTGCATTCCTCCTGTCAAAATGATCAAACTCATGTCTTGTAGCATCTAAAGACTTTAACAGCCTCAGGCAACGATGTTTTTATCAGCCTCAAATTTTCATCATCCTGGAATGGAATAAATTGATATTGGAAGTTAGAAGGAAAGAAAGAAATGTAAAGTCTAATTCAAAGATCAAAGTGAAACCCTACCTTTGCATTCCTCCTGTCAAAATGATCTAAAGCATCATACAATAAAGATGTTGGTTCTATGCTCCCAATCTTGAAGATAGATTCAGTAGAAGCTGGGGCCTGTTGAAGAAACTCCATGTTTAAGTTAGACAAAATCCTAGATCCATCACACTCTGGGATAATGATAATGGGTTCATCATAAAGATAGCGAACCAAATCTCCATAAGGGCCCACCATCAGAAGCATATCATCCCAATACAGCAATACACTGTCCATTCCACACCAAACAAGTTGCTCTGGAGCTAGGGTAGAATGTAGAAGAAGGAAAAACAAGAAATCGTTATATAAGGAGAAGATAATGAAACCTGATTGAAGCCTTGAAGTTGCAGGGACGTCAAACTGAAGACAGAAAGAAGAAACAATTTTTTGTGAGAGAAGACAAATGAAGAATGTACCTTTTGGGAATGAACCAAGAAGGAGTAGGATCAGATGGGTCTCCTTGATGGGAGGCATGTAGTTCAGCGATGGTGGTATAGAGGAGAGATGGGTTGGAGGAGAAGGCGGAAGTCCGTGCTTAGGTTGATGGCGAGCTTCGGCTTTGATTTCATTCTAGACCCAGTCACATTTGTTTTCTCAGCCATTGACGGCGGTTTGTGGAGACGATGATGGCATCGTGGACTACGACATGTCATTCTGATCTTGAACCGATATCTTAAGATGGCGGAAGTGTGTGCTTAGGTTTCTAGATGCACTCCAAACTCTTAAAGCTTATCAGGTTCGATGTTGGTGGTGCCAGCTTAGGGATTGCAGAGAGAGAGAGAGTGTGTGAGAGAGAGAGAGAAAGAGAGAGAGAGAGATAGATAGAGAGAGAGAGAGTGCAGAGGTAAAGGAAGACGATCCGATTCAAAAGGATGTGCTGATTCAAAAGGATAAGGATTATTAGGGTTCTTTTGTAGGATTCTAGTGTGTATTGAGTTTTTAAGGTTCAATGGCGGTGGCAGTGGCGATGGCTTGAGGTTTATAGAGAGAAGGAAGGAGTGAATGAAAAGGGAGATACCGAGGAGAGAGGGTAGAAGCACGGTTCTTTAAAATTTTAGAATTTCAGACGATTTTGTTTGCCCCCTTCAAAAACGCGAGTTTAGGCAAAATATATATATATATATATATATATATATATATATATATATATATATATATATATATATATATATATATATATATAAAGCGACACATTTAGAGGACACACATTTTATGAAAGGCGCCCTCCACATTTTTTTTTCCTTTCTAACACTAATTTTAGGGCACACAAAAATGCGTGCCCACTATCCTTCAAATTTTGCAAAATTGACATTATTTTTTAGGGCACACACCAATGCGCGTCCTCTATCAGCGAGTGTCATTGTTTGCGCGTCATTAAAGGGTTGTTTTCTAGTTGTGTGTGTGTGTGTATATATATATATATTAAAAGTGAAAAAGTATACAATTTCACCATATATAAGCAACTCTTACCCCACCCCATCGGTCCTCACAACGGAACTATCCATACTCTCGAACCTTAAAATTTTTCTCTTTACTTAATCCATACTCCTGGATCTAATCCATGCTCTCGGATCAATAACTATGCTCATTCCTTACTCTTAGACTAGGGACAATTGTCTATGTCTAAATCTATACTCCCAGATTAATGACAAATAACTATGTCCTATCCATACTCACGGACTAACGACAACTGCTATGTCTAATCCATGCTCTCGGAACAATGACATAATTTAATGTTCTATTCTCCGTGTATATCTCACTCGTACTCATAAGAAGATACTACCCAATATTCCTCATAAATAATTTAGGTTTACTCTTTATCCTAAATGATCATATATTATCAGGTATGCTCTTTAACACGTATTTCAGGCAACATCAAATATTTCACACATAAACATATATTTAATACTTCAATCAATGCGTGTATTAAAATCATTTTCATGAAAGGGACTATGCACTCACTTGTTAAAGTGATGATTCCAAACTCGGGTAGTGCTTCGCTTCTAACGATTCTATTTTCCTTTGACGAAACCTAGCATTATTATTGCTGAGTTTTAGTCTAATCTTTATTACGACTAATTATTAGTCTAGACTAATCATTAACTCAAAGTCTACATTCATGATCTATCAAGTCAGGAACAACCAGGTAGGATCATATCGGAGGTAGGGTCCGTTTGGTATACGAAGTGTACTGTTTGGAAATCCCACTTTAAACACCTCACTAAATCACAGTCTAGACATCATCCACGTAAGTAGATCAATCAGTATAACGACTTGGAATCACTGATAAATCTTCATTATAAGTTCATTATAACGATAATGAACTTAAAAATAAGTTATCCTTAATGTAGGTTAAGCATAACTCACTTACCGGGGGTTTGGCTAGGAAACGGGCTCTTCCAGGCAGAACTTCTGAGCTGAAAGCTCTTCTTCTTGGAGCCTTCTGGCGCTCCAGGACTCGCCTCTAGCACTTAGAAGTTGCTAGGGATTGGGTGGGGGTGATTGGGAGTGTTGAGAGAGAAAGAAGGGTGAAGGTGTGAAGAAAATGGATGATTTCCACCTCTATTTATTGGCTGTCTGAGGCCTATCCACGTTGTGGACTTCAAATCCATGTCATGGACTTAAAATCCACATTGTGGCCTTGCGTAGGCACCAATGCTTCGCCTGGTGCTGACACGTGGTGCTAGACACAAGTAAAACAACCAATTTTTTAAAAAAAACATTACTTTCGCATACGAGCTCCGCTTTTAACATTCTTAATATCTACGTATAGGTATTGACAAGATCTACAACTTTCCTTTTGACTCCATCATCTAATTCTCGACTGATTTTAAATTTAACAGTATGAGAAGATTACACTGTTAATGACCGTGTAAAATTCCTAACTTATACATATAGACTCCATTTTTGACTGTCTTTTTATCGTTGAACTCCTATTGATGCGATATTCAGTTCTCATTTAAGTTGTTTCGGCTAAAAATCGCTGATCTAAAATTCGAATTCCGGGCTATATACTGCTATGCGAAATCTTAGAAAAAATGATAACTTCCTCATACAAAGTCAGATTTTGATGTTCTTTTTATGCACACACTAAGTTTAAGTATACTACAACTTTCATTTAGATCTATAAGGCTAAAAAGTAATTTATCAAAAATTCACTTTTTACGTTACGCGGTACCGTGCCGGTTTTGCCGTAGAACTTCGACGGGAAATAACTTCTTCGTTATACTCGGATTTCGGTGTTATTCATATGTACGTAACCCTTGTGACATATAATATAACTTGTTTAAGATTATTCCTTCTAAATAATCTCCCATCAAAAGTTATTTTTGACGCTCATTATCTCTAAATTAACTAGCTCGAATCTGCGAGCGTTACACGCAGTAACATTCCTTGTCTTATATGTAGTCGATATTCTTATATATGGAATAAAGATCCATATAGATAGGTCACGACAACTTAAAGGATTAAGTAAAATTGCATTAATTGTTAACGATCTTAAAGTGCTTAAGATAAAAGACTCAAAGAGAGTTTACCTTGTCAATTACGACATTACATGATTTTGAGCAAAATCCTAATGAAAATGTTATTGAACTAGATAATATGATTGTATTCCATATGTTTTTGCAATTGGATTAATCATATATGTCATGATTATGCTTGAAGGCTAGCTAAATCGTATGCTTAGGGCATGTCAAATGATACCAATAAAATTCGAGGGCAAGTCATTGTGTGACTTATAGGAACATTATAAAGTACTTGTGAGAACTAGAGAAATATTTCTAATCTACGGAGTATTTGAAAGAAATCTATGTTTAAAGTTGTTACATATGTGCTAAATTTCCAAATAGATTGAGATATCTCTCAGTCACAATCGGGCGTGTCCTCATTATGAATGAAGAGAAAGTTACATGGATAATGGGTCCATGTAGATTTTAATTACAGTTACACATCACAGTTAGAGTACATTATGGTTTGGAGAACCACATACTAAGATGCTTAAAGTATAGTTCATTATAACTATGAATAATCTCATTATGCTAGTATTGGTATCTAAGTCATATTTAAGCATCTAATACACTCTCAATACTTTTCTTTATATATGACTTATATGTATAAAACTGAAAATGTTTGTATTTCCAAAGTTTATACAAATAAAGCTTGTTAGATCTACTTAACAAAGCTTATTTATTAGCTAAAGCATGAAAGTCAAGATGGTTCTATAGGACCTTGTTGATATAAGTAGATGTATTTTATTGAATTTAGTATTTGGATATTGGAACAATACAAGAAACATATATTGTAATGAATTGATATATTGGATATGAGTCTTTCATTGAATAATTGTGGTGTTCTCTATTAACATGTTTAAATCCTTAAATAACTAGGTTATTCTAAATGTCCATTGTTGTTCATAGTTGTGGGAGTTCTATGAGGTAAGACTAATATGAGCGGATTGGTGGATTCTCATGTAGATGAGAATAGCAAGAGCTGCTACCAACTTCATATGTACTTTATTAGGAATATAAGTGTTGGACTTCACTCGCATCAAAATCACTTTATGGATTGTAATAAAGAATGATATTTTGATCAAGGTTGTATCTTTGTATTCTTAGACCTAAGATACATATTTGGGACTTAAAGTGTAGTAATTGGTGTGCTTTGATATGGTTTAACGGTATTCTGCAAAAAGCAGTCATAAGGGCCATCGTTGAGTATGACAAGAACTACATTGATGTGTGTATGTAGTCGAGATGAGATTTGTCCCTCTTATTCTTTGAGAGTTAGACATCTAAGGCCTTACTAAAAGTTGAACACTAAATGAGATTGACGACGATCCATATTTCATGTTCGACATGATATCTAAGACAAAGGAATAATTGATAATACACCTTTAGTAACAATTGTAGCTTAGAGCTCCTGGAATTGGCTGTTGATAAGATGACACCCTTCATATGTTGTTAGGGGTAGTAGCTCGTTCCTAGAGGTCAACTACTGTCTATGTCAGTCTATAATGAATCTTGTACAAGTGGGAGATTGTTGAATCTATATTCCCAAGAGTCATTATAGAGTGATATTGCTAATAACATATGAACCTATAGGGTCATACCTTTATCACGTTGGCGCGTTTCGTATATTTATTATTCATATGAATATTAATTAAAAATATCAATTCTTGTTATTTAATTTGGGAATAACTATTGTTTTGTGACAATAATAATTATAAGAGAGTATAACTAGTTATTATTTCATATGGTATGAATTAATAAGTCACACACAACCTTTTTAACTAGTTAGATTCTTTTGTCGTTTACCTAAATACAAAGTTTATATTTTATAAACTTTGAGTTTATAAAAACTGAAGAATCTTTCTTATAAATAAAGGTATGGCCGAAATATATATAAAATAATGAAGGTTGCTTGTTAACCTCCATGCTTTGTATCCTGATGCTTCTAAAGGCTACAAATACTTT